CTGATTGGACGAATCGCCAGAGCCAGTTTCTGACTGGACGAATCGCCAGAGCCGGTTCCTGATTGGACGAATCAGGCTGACATTAAGATCCCAAATCGCCGACCTCAACCCGACTGATAATTTGTGGACTCTGATTAAAGCTGTGTCCATGCAGAAGAAACCAGACAATTTAAATACACTCCAATCGAATAAATCTGAAGCTCCACTTAATGTTCATGTGAATGTTTCAACACGTCCAACAAACATGTGGCCAGTTGTTGGTCGATGGCGCTCATGTGTACGAGACATAAAGAGGCGGAGCTTGTTGTTGAGACATTTGTTTCAGCCACGTGTCTCAGCAGAACAAACACGAGACAGAAAGGCAGCAACGATTATTAGAACTTATTGTGTCTAAATTGTGTTTAAACATTAGCTAAAGGCTAAAATTAGCATAATTGTAACTACCATTTCAAATGAGCAAAACCATAATTAAAACCTAAAACTAGCAATACCATAGTTAAAAGCTGAAGTTAGCTAAACCTTAAGCAAAACTGAACTAGCCAAACTGTAGGTAAAAGCTAAAAGTAGCAAAACTAGGTAAAAGCTACTGTTAGCAAGCCAGCTGCTAGAAGTTTAAATTAGCTAAACTGTAGCTAAAAGCTAACGTTAATAAAACTGTACATAACAGCTAAAGTTGATAAAATTGTATGTAAAAGCTAAAATGACCAAACCGAAGCTAAAAGCTACAAGAAGCACAAGATGATAAAATACAAGACGTTTGCTGAAGCAGATCTCAGATAAAATTATTCTTGGAGCATTTGAAGAGTTCTCGGCGTTTCTGTGAGAATTATTTAAAAAATAAAGTTAATTCAAAGTGTAAAAGTCATAACACTTTATTACTGATCGTGCTTTTTATTTAATCTGTATTTTTATTAAAGCAGCACAAAGAATGTGTTCTGATTAGAATAATAAAATAATAAAATGTGCATCTAAAGAGGAAAACAACAGCGTGCGCGCTGTCACGTAACAGATCCCAGTAAAATGCAACACTGGTGCCCACTCGGGTGGTCTTGACGGCGGCCACCTCCTCGGTCTGCGTCCAGCTGCTGCTCTTCACACGTTCAGCTCGTTCAGGCCTCGTCTCTGCAGCTCCTAGAGTCAGACTTTAGCTTCTGATAAGACCAGAGCTCGGCCGTTCGTGCTGCTCCATGTTTTTCACTCGTTTCTGTGGCACCACCTGACAACAAAGCATTACTCAGTTTGCTAAGTTTAGCTTCTGGTGTTTACTGGAGGTGATTTACACCCGATAAGACCTCCATCCTGTTTTTGGCTTCAGTCTGGTGTTTCGTGTCCGTCTCTGCAGCGTGCCGGCCGGCCAGCAGTGAGGAAGTTGCAGTTTCAGCTTCCTGTTTGAGGCACGGCTGCTGTTTTAAATGACTAAACTCTGAGCTCAAGTGGAGTCAGAGTGCAGCAGATGTTCCACGAAGAAGATTTGGGCTGACGAGTTGCTTCTGATGACCTCTGACCTCTTGTTGACACGAGCCTCCTTCTTCTCGGCACGTTTGGAGCTTTTTAGTTTTCTTCATCGTAGTTTCTGTAAAAAGTCTCGTGGTTTTTCATTTAACTTTTATTTATCCAGGTCTCATTGAGTCACGAGGACTCATTTTCAGGAGGTGGGGGTTAAGAGCCTTGCTC